CCTCATGTACGACCTCACCCGCTTCACTCACACTCGAATCACAACAGTCCTAACCAACAACAACAACAACAACAACAGCACCCCCGATCTGATCCCTCCTCACCGATCACTCCCCCGATCATCATCATCATCGTCATCAACAACAACAACAACCCCAGGAAGCTCTGCCCACGCTCAGATCTTCAAACTCCATCAAACGACGTAGGATGTCGATCGCAGATGAACGTTCACTACTCAAAACAACTCATCATCATCTCTCCTCATCATCATCATCCAACCACCCCTCCGTCTCACCCGAGACTAGAACCCAGCACCAAAAACTCTCAGCCGACTCCTTCACCGAGCCCATCAGCCCACTCGTCATCGGCTTCAACCAACCACACGAACCTACTGCCATCCAACAGGTCGCCAATACGATCAGGCTCAGAGAAGAACAGAAGCGGCTCATCGAACACCGTCGGAACTCATTCGCCGGCCTCAACTCATTCTCCTTCTCTAACAATAATACCCGCTCTCCTAACCCTCCCTCTCAGAATAATAACAATCGATATTCGCCCCGGACTGTTAGAACTAGCCAACCCGCCTCTCGAGCCTCCTTCTCCAAGGTTGCCCTATCATCCTCATCAAGCAACAACAACAACAACAACAACAACAACCACTCAAACAATAATGGCAGCAACACCGGGCATAACGGTCTCATGAAACTACTCTCCCATCCTAGCCTGTCTAACTCTACATCATCCACCTCGAACCAACCTTCCCAGCAGTCATTGTACGATGCACCCCCTCCAGTGGTCAGCCTTCCCTCAATCGATGAAGCAGCTGCTCGCAAGCCGCCCTCCAATCCACACCGTCAGGCCCTTCCAACCTCAACCGCACCGATAAACCAAGACACACATCCCGATCCGAACACCAGCCCAGACATGTTGGACCGCAGCAGCTCTCCCACCGACTCTTCTACCCAGATGGGTCCCAGCTCTTCCGTGGCCGATCGAAGAGGCCAGGTAGTGCGAGAAAAAGTCAAAAACATGGCTCTGGCCCCTCAGGCATTCCGTCCCCAGCTACTCGTCCAGCCCTCGGTCAAGTCAGCTCCCATCCGGAGTGGGTTCCTACAAGCCACCGCACCCAACGGAGAGGTCGTCACAACTCCTTTGATTGCCCGCACCAACTTGGCCGGCTCCGGGGGGACCGGATCAACAAACCCGAATCACGCCCCCGAACCCCCTCAGCAGCCCCGGTTCGCCAAGTATAACCCGAACAACCCGTCTAGCCTCAACCACAGCTCACGGCTGAATCACTCCATCGGTGCCGGCCCGAGCACGGCATATCCCAACCTGGGCGCCTCGGAGGGACCCTATCGTCAGGGGATCGAACGTCGGATGACTATGCATGCCGGTTCCCTGATGCAGGTCCCCACCCTCAGTCATCTCTTATCCGGCTCCAACAACCCGCTCTCTCAGAGTCAACCGAGTCCCGGTCGGGGAAGGCCATCCGGCAAGTCGGCCAATCCAGCGGCCAACCACCAGACTCAATCTATCCCATTGGGCCCTGGCCAGCCGAATCCGAACCCTCCCTATCCTCCCAATCACCACCACTACCACCAATCACAGTCCCAACAACGCGCACACCATGGGACCGACGGACAACGAACCGCGACTTTCCAGGAACAAGCACCATCGCAACCACCAGGCTCGGCGCGATTACGAGGCTCGATTGGTGGTGGAGGGATGATGGGAGGTTCGACGGCAGCCGGGATCCCATCGAAGCAAATGTTCTTGCAGCTGTTTGAGAGCTTTTATGACTCGTTATCGGACTCGAAAGTGTTGCAGAACAATCTGGAGGAGCAGATCCGTCGGTCGGCCCAATTGCTGCATTCCTTGCAACAGTCGGCAACGGTGTTTGAGGCGATCCTCGACGACCGCCTGGCTGCCGTCCAGACCCAATCGACCCGTGAACTGCAGATCTTGGAGAATCGGATCGATCGCTTGGAGGCTCGGTTGCCCCTCCCTAATAATCTCTCGAACCCTAACGACGAAGACGAGCTCTTGCCGCTCGACGTTCTTCCGGATCCCGCAGATCATAAATCGCCTATCATCCCCACTGGGTCTCCTAAAATCCCCCACTCTACCGTTTGTTCTCACTCCCTTCCCGTCTCTCTTCTTCCCTTGTATTGACCCTTTTTTTCCTTTGGGGTTTGCGTTTCAGCAGGATTCGTGCGCTACTTCGACGAGTCAAACTTCGACTGCTGGTGGCCCTCGTAGTGGGACGGGCATCGAGGACGGAAATCGGACGGGGATAGTCGCCCACCCTTCTCTCGCTTCCGTTCTCTCCCTCCCTTTGTTTTTC